CCTCTCTCTTTCTCTCTCTCTGCCCCTCTGATCACGTTTTCTCTCTCTCTAAAAATAAATAAATATTTAAAAATAAAATGGATGTTTAAATTATTTATATTTAATGTGATGATTCATATGGTTGTTCTTACTTTTCTATTTGTTTCATCTTTTTGTTACATTTTCTTCTTTTTCTGCCTTATCAACCAACTATTTCTATTATTACATTTTTATAACCTTTTTTGCTTTATTAGCTATAATTTTTCTTTAAGTTCTATAGCACACTTCCTTATCACAATCTGCCAACAAGTAATATTATATCATGCCATGTACAGTATAAAAACCTTTCAACAGTACATTTCTATTTCATTTTCTCCTGGCCTCTGTGCTATTGTTATCATACATTTTCCTCATATATATATTTTAAGCCACATAATACGCTGTCATTATTTTTGCTTTAGTCATTTATCATTTAAATAGATTGGGGAAAAACTGCTTTATAATTACCCACACAGTTTTTTATTTGTGTTGCTCTTCCTTCCTTTCTATAGATCCTTATTTCTATCTGGCATTCTTTTCCTTCTGCCTGATGTATTTTCATTTTCATTTTCATTTACATTTACATTTACATTACATTTACATTACATTCATTTCTTGTAGTACAGACATGCTGATGAATTTTTCAGCTTCTAGTGTCTGAAAAAGTATTCATTTTGCCTATATGTTTAAAGTACATTAACTCTGGTTACAGAATTATAGATTGACAGTTTTTTCCAGTACTTCAAAGCTGTCACTAACTACATTCTTGCTTGCTTATTTCTGACAAGAAGCAAAATTGTCCCTCTATACATAGTGTTTATTTTTCCTTCCAATATTTTACTTAAATTCAAGTTACTTTATATAAAGTGTAGTACTGGTTTCAGGGATAGACTTTAGTGATTCATCACCTACATACAACACCCAATGTTCATCATAACAGGTGCCCTCCTTAATGTCTATCACCCAGTTAAGCCCATTGCCCGACCCACATCCCCTCTAGCAAGCCTCAGTTTGTTCTCTATAGTTAACAGTATTTTATGGTTTGCTGCCCTCTGCCATTTTATTTTATTTTATTTTATTTTATTTTATTTTATTTTATTCTATTTTATTTTATTTTTTTATTTTATTTTTCCTTCTTTTCCCCTATGTTCACCTGTTTTGTTTCTTAAACTCCACATATGAGTAAAATCATATGGTATTTGTCTTTTTCTGACAGACTTATTTCACTTAGCATAATACACTCTAATTCCACCCAACTCATTGCAAATGGCAAGATTTCATTCCTTTTGATGGATGAGTAATATTTTATTGTATACCACATCTTCTTTATTCATTCATCAGTTGATGGAAATTTGGGCTCTTTCCATAGTTCACCTATTGTTGATAATGCTTCTATAAACCCTGAGGTGCAAGTACCCCTTTAAATCAGTGTTTTTATATCCTTTGGATAACTACCTAGTAGTGCAATTGCTGGGTCATAGGGTAGTTCTATTTTTAACCTTTTCAGGAACTTCCATACAGTCTTCCAGAATGGCTGTACCAGTTTGCATTCCCACCAGCAGGGTAGAAGTGTTCCCCTTTCTCCACATCCCCACCAACATTTGCTGTTTCCTTAGGGTAGTTCTATTTTTAACCTTTGCAGGAATCTCCATACTGTCTTCCAGAGTGGCTGCTCCAGTTTGCATTCCTACCAACAGGGTGGAAGTGTCTCTATTTCTCCACATCCTCACCAACATTTGTTATTTCCTAACTTGTTAATTTTAGCCACAATGTTTTGTTTTACTCTGTTTGCTTTGAAGATGTTCTCTTTATATGAAGGGGAGCAGAAAATTTATTTGAAAAAAATGGTCAAAAACATTCTAAATTTGATAAAAGTTTTAATTCTCTCAAACCAAGAAGGTCAACAAATAAGAAACATGAGTAGGGGTGCCTGGGTGGCTCAGCCAGTTAAGCGTCCGACTTTGGCTCAGGTCATGATCTTGCAATTCCTGGGTCTGAGCCCCACATTGGGCTCTGTGCTGACAGCTTAGGGCTTGGATCCTGCTTTGGATTCTGTGTCTCCCTCTCTCTCTGCCCCTACCCCACTCTCACTCTGTTTCTATCTCTCTCTCTCTCTCAAAAATAAATAAAACATTAAAAAATAAGAAGCATGAATAAAATTTCACAAAGGGATATGATCAAATAGCTTAAAACTAGTGATAAAGGTAAATCTGGTCCCTGTTACTCTATGTTAGCCAGAAGCCAAAAGCTCCACCCATATTTTTCATGGGTAGTCAAATTCTACATGTCCAATTAACTTAATTAACCAATTAACTTCCACCTACTCCCCTGCTTTCTTTGTTCCAAGCACACTTCAAAAGAAACAGAATAAAACAAAATAGTACTGTCCCTCTTCCAACGTCCCTTATTGTAGAAAGTAGCACCACTCAGTCATCCATGCCACAACCTAGAAGTTATCTTTTTCTCCCTCCTTTTACCAGCCCCATAATTTAATCAGTCACCAAATTCTCTACATTCCCACAGCCATCACTTTCATCCTGGACAACTGCAATTGATTTGTAACTGGTCTTCTATTCCTCAGGAATATTGTCCTGATCCAATCATTATTTATACCAAAGCAAGTGTCATACATCCTTCATCTAAAAACAACAACAACAAAAACTGCAAACATATCTTCAACTTTACTTAATAAGTGAGTTTATTATAATGGTATGGATATAGCAATTCCAACACCATTTTATGTATTTTGTAGGACCGAGAAAATGAGTAAATCAATGAATGCTGTGTTGAACTGAACTTAATGGTATCAGTACAAATTCATTATACATGCACACACACATATTTGTACATATGTATGTGTGTGTATGTATATATAGAAATATATACAGGTATGTGTATATATGTGTATATATTATGTGTGTCTATACACACACACACACAATATACACATTATATAGATATACGTAAATACATATGAATATACATTAAATTTTTAATTTTTTTATTTTCTAATTCTGTCTGATGAAAGTTTCTAAAAGCAATGACACCCTACTAGCAATGAATACACCTAGCACTCAGAAGTTGAACTTTAAATATACTGTAATTTCCCACAAAAATGTGCCATGTATTCTTGGAAAAAGTGGCTGCTTCCTGGGAAGGGAATAAGGGAAAATTACAAGATAAATATGGAATATACTATTATGCCAAAAAGTAAAAAGGTGCCCCAAATATGTGAAGAACAGATCAAAAGGAAACAGAAGCCAGCTTGAATAGGCTTCTGCTAGGCAAATATGGAAAATTATGGACATAAATTCTAATTAAAATGAATAATATTAATGGATTACAATTCATTGAATAAAATATGAATCCATATATTGATGATAATAGTTACCTAATTAAAGAGAAGGGTTTTTTTCCTTACAATAGAATACCATCTAATAAATATAGATGAATAATACATTTAGAAAATCACCATTTGCAACCATAACAGTTATTATTCATGTAAGAATATTTAATAGTTACTATAATGATTGCATGCAACCTGAATTAGGAATATAATAATCTCAAAGTACTTCCTCACAAATTACTTATAGATTATAAACTTAAAAAAAGGTGATTTTAAACTGGAATAACTTCGTGAACATCAAAGTGAACATTACCAATAATGGGCCAAATAGACATCATATCCCTTTTGGAAAAATGCACTAAGAAAGATATGATTAAATCTGTGTATTTCCTCTAAAAATGAATAAGGAAAATCTAATGCCATGAAATACAAAGAAAATCTGAGTAAATTATACCAAATTATAGGCTGAAGATATGTGAAAATAAATGCTATGCATAATCCTGGATTGAATCCTATATCAATGGAAAATGCTATATAGAACACTTTTGGGACAAGTGGCAAAAATTGAATATCAACTACAGATCAGAACACAGTATAATGTCAGGTTACATTTTCTGAATTTATAATTGCATTGTAATTTTGTAAATTAATTTATTTGTTCTAAGGAAAAGCACATTGAAGTATTTAGGGACAAAGGGGTACGATATCTGCAACTAGTTCTCAAATGGTTCAGGAAAAAATCAAACTCATACATTTGCATACTTGCCATTTAATTATAGCCCGTGATGTACTCTGATGCATTTATCTCATTGTGATCATATGGCTAATGATACTAAACTAATGGCCAACCAAGATCCCACCTAGGCAGCAGGTTGCTCCTCATTGGAAGTTCAGGCTGACATGTGCTGAGGGTTTTGAGAGCAAAGGTATGTTTCCCAGATATGCCGGGGCCAAGCCTCCCATTTAGGCAGGGATTGGTCTTTTGATACCAGAAATGGGCTTTGTCAAATATTAGTGTATATTACATGCATTTAGCTAAGTGAAATTCAGAATTTTCCAAAACCATACCAGAGAGATTGACCATTGAAATGAAAGGTTAGAACTAATTTCTACTGCTCAGAGGGAAGAAACTTAACTTTACACTAAACCCATTGGTCAAGGGAGTGCTGAAGTTACCTTAAGAATCTTTCTTTTTATGTGCCTGTTGGCCATCCGGATGTCTCTAAAGAAGACAATGGGTTTAGTGTAAAGTTAAGTTTCTTCCCTGAGAGTGTGATGCTGAGTGAAATAAGCCATACAGAGAAAGACAGATACCATATGGTTTCACTCTTATGTGGATCCTGAGAAACTGAACAGGAACCCATGGGGGAGGGGAAGGAAAAAAAAAAAAAAAGAGGTTAGAGGGGGAGAGAGCCAAAGCATAAGAGACTTTTGAGAACTGAGAGCAAACTGAGGGTTGGTGGGGGGGGGGAGGGAGGAGAGGGTGGGTGATGGGTATTGAGGAGGGCACCTTTTGGGATGAGCACTGGGTGTTGTATGGAAACCAATATGACAATAAATTTCATATAAAAAAAAAAAAGAATCTTTCTTTTTAGATGACAATAGCCAAGAAAGGGATCTTAAAATAGTAACTGACCTCCAAGACCAGGTCGCAGCCGGTTGTCATAGCCATCTAGAAGACGATCTAAGATTCTGGTAAATATAGTGATGTTGTCAGTGCTGTCATCAGGAATATCTGGGGCGTGCTTAGGAGAGAGCCTGCGACAGTGGAAGAAACAGAGATGGAAAATAATAGTTAATAGGAAACACTTGCATGTGTAAACAGTTTAAAACAATTTCAATCGATAGACTGGGCCAACTAAATAGCCCTGTATCTTAACCAAATCAGCACTTCCTACTTGCTATGATGATTACCTGTGTAAAAGGCAGACAGTGGTCACTATACTTAAACTCTTACTATAGCATTGACAAGAGATTTATCAAACATGTGCTCCAGCCCCAACTCAACAGTGGAGAAATGCAAGCAGAAATTGTTAATACAATGTTCTGGGGAACAGTCGGTGGCATAAAGTTATACATCAAATTTTGGTGCATGAACGAACAGTCCTCAAAGTTAAAAAAGAAAAATTGTGTTACAAAAAACTTACCCCACTTCTGGCTGAGAAAAGCATAAGTTCACAGAATAATAGAATCAGACTGTTGGAGTGTGTTTATTCTACCTACCCACCACCTTATGGAGATAGGGTAACAAAACAATAGTACTCCATTAAATGTTAAAGCTACCAGGACTCTTAAGAGATTCCTTAATTTTGCTCATTTTATACACGGAGAAATAAGCTCAAAGAGGGGACCATCAAATTTGCCCACAAATTTGAAATTTGAAAGGCAGAAATAGGACTAGAATCCAAGTTTTCTGATTTTCTAGTGACCCTCAGCTACCTCCTGCTTCTCCAGTTTGGATGCCTTCTGTAAACCTTTCCAAACACTAGGCACTTTGCCAACCACCTACTCAGGCCCAGGTTTACTGATACTCTCACTTTATGAGGAGGGTCTTGTTGTGGTTTGACAGGACTAAAAATGAAACTCTCTGGGTAGTTTAAGAGAAAAGGGGATATAACTAAAGAGATGGCTGTTGCCAAGGATCAAAAATCATGGTGTAGAATCAACTAATAAACTAGGAGTCAGAAATCCTGGATTCTACTGCCAGCTGTATTCATGAATTAAAGTAGATAATGAAGCAAGATACAATACTGTATCTCCTTAAGTCTGTTTTCACCATTCCTACCTTGGACCCAGAAGGTTTCCATTAATAGGCATAACTGTTCCTAGCATCCAATTAGTCAAATCGATAAGAAGGGCACCCGGGTGGCTCAGTCAGTTGAGCAACCAAATCTTGGTTTTGGCTCAGGTCATGATCTCACAGTAGTGAGATCGAGCCCTACATTGGGCATGGAGTCTGCTTAAGATTCTCTCTTTCTCCTTCTGCCCCTCTCCTCTGTTCTTTCTCTCAATAAATAAATAAATAATACATACATACATACATACATACATACATACATACATACATACATAAGATAATAGTTGAGAAGGAGTCATAAGACAGAGTCAGTATGTCTTCCCACAAATATATATTCTTAGTGGCAAGAAAAGTTCATTTTATTTTTAAAAAGACCTGAGAAAAATCTACAGAATAGAAACATCAAAATTGAATGGTTCTCACTCTAAACTGCCATTCTCCAGCAGATAACTTTGAAAAAGTCATTTTGGACCTCAACTTCCTTAATTCATAAATCTAATTCAATTCACTTAATTATTCAATACATCTTTATTGAGAATCAACTATGTGCCTCTACTTTGGGTACTGTGATAGAGCATAATAAAGATAAAACAAGGTGAGTAATCTTTTCCCTAATTACAGGGTTGCTGAGGGAATCAAATGATAAAATAGTTACACATGGAAGGAAAAAGAGACCTAAGCTTAAAAAGTCTAGAGACATGTATTTGAATTTTTTAGTGTGACCATAGGAAAGTCATATAACACCTCTAATAGCTTTCTCATATTTCAAATTAAAATAACTTCACAGATAGATTGCATTAACATTAAATAATATATTAAAATTGTCAGGCTTAATGTTTAATATGTGGAAGTATTCAAAGTTTGTTTTCTCTTTTTGGAAATAGTACTGCATGCACTTGAATGCATTATTCAAATGCAAATAGTAACAAATATATTGGCACACCCATCAACCAAAACCCATAAAGAAAACTTTGGCCAGAGAGGCACTGGAACCCAGTGAAAAGTAGAGATGATTGTCTGGTTTAGTGGACAGAGCACTAGAAGTGATACAAATACCTTACTGGGAAGGGGGTGGGGGGGATAAGGAAACTATAGCACAGAGATAACAAACTGGCATTAATATGCTAAAGAGATAAATACAGGCAACCTTCAGGTGACAGTTCAATACACCAATATTCTGAATTGGTCTTACATGGGCTGTGGAGAGAGAGGCTCAACTGATTTTGTGCACACCACTTTCTCATTATCCTTCAACTTTCACTGTGGGGACTCTTAGCTGTGATTAGCCTAATTTGATTTCTAGGAAATAGGTCAATAAATTGTATGAAAAACAATTTCTTGGATTACTGAAAGCAGATAGAAAGGAGAATTCTCACAGAATCATAGATGAGCTATAAAGGGCTTCAGAAATTATTTACTCAAGGTGGATTGATAGATGGGAATTCTAAAGCCCCTGAACATAATTTTTAACCACCCTGAATGTTAATGGAAAAGCTAAGATTTGGGACCAGAATTCTTGAATATGAGGCCAATACACTATGTCACCTCTCTTACTAAAATACTAACTTCCATGACCATGCATTTCCATTCATTGCCAATGTGTTAATTATGCTAGCAGCATTCTACACTAATAATTTTTAAACTTTTAAGTAAAAAAAAATCAATGCTAAATATCACTCTAATACAAATTTCAATAGATTTCTCTATGATTTTGCCCTTGGTTACTGCTATTTTTTTTCTCCTAACGTGCACTAAATTATTTCATGGGGAACTGGAACATGGTTTAATCTAGAAACCAAGTCAGAACTCTCTTCTTCAATAACTCAACTGCAACAAGCTAAAAATGCTCTAGTTTGTTCCAATCCAAAGAAGTTTGGGAGAACAACAAAGAATCATGGTATATCAGGATTATGGGAGAGCCTTAGAGATCATATATTTTTTTTCATTTTACAGATGAAGCACCTAAGACACTGATGAGAGGAAGAAATTCTTCAAAGCCACATACTTATTAGGTTGATAAAACTGATGCACCCATGACTGTTTTGCCTCATCTCTGTTATTACCAGTTGGATTTAATATCAATAATCCATCATTTAAACATTAAAATCATGTTACTAATATACTATGTGTAGGTAAGGTTGATTTAGTCAATTTTTTAGTTCTAAACATGGAATAGTGGTAAGTCCATAGGATTAGGATCAAATGAGCAGAGTGTTAGTCCTGGCCTTGCCAATAACTGATTGTGTAACATATTTCCTCGTAAGATGGGGATAATAATTTCCTACCTTAGAAAGTTTATGGAAGAAATAAGTAAATAATACAATGAACAAAAATTCACTTTGCAAATGGTAAAGCTCCATATACATTGAGGGTTGTTCATTCCTTTCTTTGCCCCCCCCCCAAAAAAAAACTTCTGAAAATGTAATGAGACACTTTTGAAAGCCAGGCACTTTTTGTACACATTTTTGTGCGGACATAGGTTTCCATTTCTCTTGGGGAGATATTTATGGGTAGAAATGCTAAGTCATAGGGTTATTCTGTTAAACCCTTTTTAAAACATTTCTTTTTAACTGAAGTGATACTCACATAAAATTAACCAGTTTAAAGTGAACAATTCAGTGGCATTCAATATATTCACAATGTTGGGAAACTACCACCTCTACATAAATCTAAAAAATTTTCATCACCCCAGAAGGAAATCATGTAAACATTAAGCACATGCTTGTTATTCTCTCTGTCCTGCAGCCCCTGGCAACCACCAATCTGCATTCTATTTCTATGGATTTAGCCATTCAAGATATTACATATAAATGTTATCATACAATATATAGTCTTTTGTGTCTGGCTTCTTTCACTTAACATGTTTTCCAGGTTCATCCACATTATAGCATATTTCAGTACTTCATTTTTGAGGCTGAATAATATTATATTATATGTATATACCACAATTTGTTTATTAGGCACTCATCTGTTAATGGATATTTATGCATTTTCTACCTTTTGGCTATTGTGAATATTGATGCTGTGAAAATGAGTGTACAATTCTTCTTGGTATTCACCTAGTAGTGAAATTGCTGGGTCATATGGAAATCCCATGTTTAACTTTTTGAAGAAGTGGCAAACTGTTTTCCACAGTAGCTGCACCATTTTCCATTCCCACCAACTATATAAAAGGGATCCAGTTTTTCCAAGTATTTGCCAATGCTTCTTACTTTCCCTCTTTTTAAAAATAAACTTATGTATTTAATTCGTTTGTTTTTTTAATTTTTTATTATATTAAATTTATTTTCAAATTAGTTTCCATACAACACCCAGTGCTCATCCCAAAAGATGTCCTCTTCAATGCCCATCACCTACCCTTCCCTCCCTCCAACCCCCCATCAACCCTCAGTTTGTTCTCAGTTTTTAAGAGTCTCTTATGCTTTGGCTCTCTCTCCGACCCTAACCTCTTTTTTTCTTTTTTTTTTTTTCCTTCCCCTCCCCCATGGGTTTCTGTTAAGTTTCTCAGGATCCACATAAGAGTGAAAACATATGGTATCTGTCTTTCCCTGTATGGCTTATTTCACTTAGCAGCACACTCTCCAGTTCCATCCACGTTGCTACAAAGTGCCATATTTCATTCTTTCTCACTGCCACGTAGTACTCCATTGTGTATATAAACCACAATTTCTTTATCCATTCATCAGTTGATGGACATTTAGGCTGTTTCCATAATTTGGCTATAGTTGAGAGTGCTGCTATCAACATTGGGGTACAAGTGCCCCTATGCATCAGCACTCCTGTATCCCTTGGGTAAATTCCTAGCAGTGCTACTGCTGGGTCATAGGGTAGGTCTATTTTTAATTTTCTGAGGAGCCTCCACACTGCTTTCCAGAGCGGCTGTACCAATTTGCATTCCCACCAACAGTGCAAGAGGGTTCCCGTTTCTCCACATCCTTGCCAGCATCTATAGTCTCCTGAT